TTTGTATGGGAGACTAACTTGAAATGTAAATTTCATTTAATTACAAAAATAAAAAAAATTAAAAAAATTATTTCTCCTTTCAAAGACTACAATTTTAGGTTCTCCCATTTTTCATAACCTTGGGAGTTTTAGTGGGAATTTGTATTCATAACAGTGCTTTTATGAAGATGATTTATCCAAATCCAGCTGACTATTAAGCATTTAAAAAGGAAGATAAACGAAAATCATTCTTACTTATACTAGTATAATGGAAAAGTTCAATTAGGTGATTATTTCCACACGAAAAGTAATAATCCTATAGTTTTTAAAAAGATAAACTCATGGAATAAATTAACTAATTTACCTTGATTGTGTCTAGATTCCAGAACTAGCCTCTTCTTGTTAGATCATGTTACCTACAAGAGTCATTGTTACCTCTTATAGAACCTGAGTAAGTCTACCATGCCAGATATATAGAGGTAAAACTTCCTGGAGAAGAAGCCTTCCTGTAGTTCCGGACAGGACAAAAAGTAAGAAAAAAATCATAATATACTACCTGGGAATTTAAGTAGATAATCATAATAGACTCAAGTTATGCAGAAAGCAAAAATAAGACACCAAGTGCAAAAACAAGATACCAAGTATTGAGGAACTTGGGAAATGTCAGAGGCTGTGACATTCAGCCTAGCCTGCCCTAAAATAAACGACAGAAAAAGGAAACAAAAAACAAAAATGAAATTTTTTTCTTACTGTTAAGTTTACGTTATTGAATCAATACATGTGTGTTCTGAATCAAATGTACAAGGTACCAGTTGTAATTATCACAGTGCTTTCAGAGATATACTATTAATTCTCTGGCACCATACCTGAAGTGTTTCTGAAGCTGAAGCACTTTCAGTTGCACTGCTATGGGGTATATACTTTACAACAGTAATTATCCCCTGAATTGCAATGCGCTTTTGTTCCCTATACTGCAAGTCTTCAATCTCCTTCCTCACTTCACTTATAGCTGTCAAGAGTGACTCAACTGCAAAAGAGTAATAATCCCAAGGAAACTGTAAGGTTTAAAGAACTGAAATGAGAAAAATAAGAATTAGATTTGCAATGCAATTTCACAACATAAAATTAAAAACTTGCTACATTAACTACATTTGTAAAACTTTGTGTTTATATTTGGCATCCCCTTATGTAATTTTTGTAAAATAGGGAAAATGCTTTTATCAGTTAAACTATAATATAGACTTCTAGCCTGGAGTCTTCATTTGCAACAGAAACTTTATATATTGAGCCTAATTTATATATCATATTTCAAACTATAAAGTGTTGCCCAGCCACTGCATAGAAACACAAATTTTAATTGTTTCCCACCATATACTATATATTGTTAGCATTATGAAGTACAAGAGGAGGACAATATTTAGATGATCACAAATCAGCATTTCAAAGTTCCTCCTCTTTCTTTCAAAACCACACAATTATCTCATAGCTTTTAAAAAAGAACACAGTTACATTAAACTTTTCAACAATCATATCTTAATTCTACTAAAAAGTAAATTAATGTTAGGCTTCTCAAGAGTACTTTAAATCAAATTCAGCATCTCATTTACTTCGGTGTCATTTTTACTTAAAGGTAACACTAAATTGTGTTATATACAATATATATAATTTCACAAGAATAGCATCATACAGTTGTCAGTATCTGGATATCAAATTGCTCAGCATCTCTTTTAGATTATCTTTAGTCTCTCTATATAACTTCACAGGAGTTGAGATCTACCAAGGTCAGATCTGATCTCATTGGCATTAAATCAAGATAGTATCTCTGGTTAGTCATCTTCTGCATTCTCTCTTTTCATCAATCTAATTAAAAATAAAAATATTAACCTTTAGGAGTCATGACATGTATTTTTTGGTCTGCATAAAGACAGAATGATTATCAGTGTTAGTGCACTTTGTCTCACTCAAATAAAACAAATGGGGGGGGGCGGAAATCACTAAATAGACAAGTGTCAATTTCGGTGAAGGGAAGGACAACACAAAATATAGGAGAAGTCAGCACAACTGGACCAAAGCAAAAGCTACGAAGTTTCCTAGACACATCCAAACACTTCAAGGGATGAAGTGGCTGGGTCTGGGGCCTGGGGACTACAGTCTCTGGGAACATCTAGGTCAACTGGTATAACAAAGTTTATAAAGAAAATGTTCTACATTCCACTTTGGTGAGTAGTGTCTGGGGTCTTAAAAGCCTGCAAGCAGCCATCTAAGATACATCTATTGGGCCCATCCCACCCAGAGCAAAGGAGAATGAAGAAAACCAAAGATACAAAGAAAATACTAGCCCAAAGGA